GGACTTTATTTACGTCAAAGCAAATTCTCCAGTAACTTTACTCACAGCAACCTTGGCCTTTTCTGCCCAAGCAAAAGACTCATCTAAGTATGGCGCTCGCTAATTTCAGCTTCTGCTGAACACAAAAAGAACGGATGGTATCTACTTGGCCTTGCAGAATCAGTTTTGAGAACAAGTTCCTATTTGATTCAGTTCTGTTCGGGTGCCTATCACTGTTAGAATTAAATACACATACATAATTTTCAGGAATATTTTAAAATGGAAAAATATATCAGTTTCAAATTTTTGAGAATTTCAGCTAAAAGAATGATTTTTAGCTGGTTTCTGCAAGAACCTAATGACCCATTTTTTATATTATCCATGCACACTACTCCTACATGTTTTTTGTGGTTCTTATATTGTGTATATATTGCATATCAGTATGCAATATTTGGTAAGCTTTAACCTAAAGGGAAGAAATAACACTTGGCAAAAGTATTTCTGTCAGTTCATATGTCCACATCTTTCTTCTTTTAATGGCCTAGTTAATTTAAATCAATGAGAAAGCTCCTTATTGTTTTACATAAATTACTGGGATTTGATGGTTACAGAATCTGGTCCTGAAACTGGAATTATACTACAGCCATAATCTAACAATTTTCAAAACAAAGAGATATAATAAAATAAATAGCTCACAAATGAAACTTGTATTTCAGCTGTACAGCCTGCTAGACTGGTAAAATAGTAGTTGAATTTTTGCATGCCTGAACTGTACTTGCACAAAAAAACTGGATATGAAAAGGAAACATGGAAGGTTAAATGTATAAAATCCCATTTACTTTTCTAGAGATTGTTTCTGAATTATTTCTTCATGGAAAGTAATCTGCATACTCCAATAATTAGTAATCAAAAAGAAGTAAAATGATAGCTTATTAACAGTCAGTTACTGAAGATTGTAATATATAACATGTTACTATTGTCTGTGAAAGTAAAAATATGTTTGTTAAATTTTCCCGCACAACTGCGGTTTGGAAAAAAGTTTTTTCTAATATACTAATTTCAAGAAAATGATTTACATGTTAAGAGACGTGTGAGATCCTGTTAACATCAAAAAAGATCTTGATATTTAGAAGCAGTTTTGTAGCAATAAAATAAATATGTTAGGTTCCTAAGCTTGTGAACAATTCAAGCTTCAAGCATCACACAACAAAATCACTCTAATAGCCCACTATCTTCTAATTCACATTGTATATCAATCTATTCCTGAAGCTACTGTATACGAAAAATACTAGCAAAGTGGTTCTATAAAACAGAATTCTTAGAATAAACTTCCTCATCATTCAAATCTGTCTTATACATGGAAGATAATTAATTTACATGACCTTTTAAACCAAACTGTGTGGTTTATGATTCATATACATATTTGACAACTGATGTGTTTTCAGTTGTGAGTCAGATAAGTGCTCCAAGTTTGTTGGCTAAAAGACCAAACCAGCATGTTTTCTCTTTGTTTTCCATATGAAAGTTGGCCTAATACCTAACAGCAGAGAGAATTATATGTATAATAAAACACGCTTCTCAAAGACAGTGAGTGAACCTGTGAAAAGTAGTACGGCACAGTATTATCTTCTTATTCACCAGAACAACCATCGAGTGTGAAAACCACATAAGAGTTATGATGCTGGATACCATCCCCTGCACAGAAGATGCTCAAATGCTACAACTTACTGATTTCTTTCATGTAAAAGGCTCTGTACACATAGCACCAAATTTCAATATTTTGCAAACATGACATCCTCATTTTTTGGACAGAAACAACAGAGAAAGGTACTCTAACATTTACAATTGTGCACTAGTAGGCTGAAAAAAAACCCTGGAATGTGGGCACAGCTTACACAAAAATATGCACAAACACTATTTTTAGAGTTTTACTTGGCACACAGAGGGCAACATAGGTGTATGCAAAACTAAGTGTAAGCAAGGAGGTGCACAAAAAAATTCTTTTTTAATCATTTGTTCTGGGCTGCTGGATTAAAAGAAGCAACACTTGGTAATACAGACGTAAGGGACACTGACACTGCGTAGCTACTGAAAATTCGGAAGAATCTTGTTGGAAATAGCACCTGTGAGCATCACTGACACCTGTTTCCATAAGGGAGCTGAAGGAGAACTGAAGAGCTAGAGTGAGCATGGAGACAGGATGAAGAGAGAAAAGGGCTGCTCCAGATGTGTTGCTATGGTTCAGCAATTAGCACGTCCCTAGCTGGCTTTGGTGGGATTTTTTCCTCGGCTATTGGTTCTGTTTTTCCTGCAGAATATATAGTAGTGATAAAAAAAAACATTGGTGGGAGATAGAAATTGCTCTTTCCATTACTTAGAACACCCTGTTCTCTGCTGAAAAGAGCACAGTGCCTGGCTGTGGGTGATGTAGGAGCTAAACGTCTATACTTATTTTTAATATGTTTTTTGTTATTCAGTGGTTTTTAGCTGCTGTTGAACTGCTCCTTTAGAACACATACAGGTATAGTTATTGCTAAGAAGAATTGCACTCTGAAGTTGTATCTAAAGATGAGTTTTCATCACAGTCTGGAACAGGCATGTCAAGGAGCACTTTCTTTTCCACACATACAATTCCTATGCCCTACATATATGGCAGTAATGAGTAAAGGTACTCAAATACTAGAGCTATATCGGCAAAATAAAACAAGCAAGGGCATGGGCTCGAGCACAGTCCCACAGTTGTCTGTACTGTCTAATTATGAGCATGATTCCTGGCATGATTTTAGCCAGTGCCAGCACCTTGCCCAGCCAGAGAACAGGCTTTCTCAGTGTACTAGTCTAAGTGAAGCCCTACGGTTTGGCAGGGAAGACAGGAATAAGAGTAAGCTTATGGTGTCAAATGGAACTTCTTCCTACAAAGATTTTGAAAAGGAGGTAATTTTAAAAGTAATTGGTCCTTTGAATCTAAGGCTTTGCTACCACAAGGGGCCCCATTAGATAAATCTTTTCCCTAACCCTGCCAAGACAGAACTTAGATTTCTTTTTTTATTTCTGCCATTCCCACTAGAAGGATGTTCCAGAATGTGACCATTAATGCAGCCCTTCTCAAGCTGTTCTCCTGAATACCCCCATTTATAACCTGATTCTATTTTGGTCCTCTGAATCTAAGGCTTTGCTACCACAAGGGACCCCATTAGATAAATCTTTTCCCTAACCCCGCCAAGACAGAACTTAGATTTCTTTTTTTATTTCTGCCATTCCCACTAGAAGGATGTTCCAGAATGTGACCATTAATGCAGCCCTTCTCAAGCTGTTCTCCTGAATACCCCCATTTATAACCTGATTCTATAGTAGACAACATACAGCACCATGTTGCAGAAGGTCTGCTTCTGATTCCATAAGCCAGCCCCTGCTTTTCTCTGCTGCTCTCTGAGCATTTCTTTTGATACTACTGATCGGGAAATACTGCTCCAGTAGTTCACTTTCTTGTGATTTCCATATTCTCATTAGTTTTTGGGCCAACACTAACCTTGGGCTTAAAGTGTTCTCTTCCCTTCTTTTTGTTTTACCCTAATAATGTACCTACATTCAGCAATCATATTCTCTTCTAGCCTTTGCTTCGCTAGGCTTAATACTAAAAGCTCTTCTAACACGGAACAGATGCACATCTCTATCTGAGAGTTTTGAGCCTAATTTGAAAATACCCTCTCCTCCTCTACTTTTTTTTGCCCTATGTCAGTTGTTGGAGAGCTCTGGGAGAGTTCCCTGACAGCTGCTGGAAAGCCACACCAGCTGAATGTCCTGATAAAGTATGTATGATAGCTTAGCCGTAGGTAGAATGTGGAATGCTTTTAAAAGTGCTAAACTGTATAGAAAACTTTTCTGTTTGTTACTATCACAAGATTTTCCTGAAGTTTGGCTCTGTTTGTTGTTCTAATTAGTGTGTAAAAATGGTTAGCAAAAATGTCACTCTGGCCCATCCTTTTCTATGAATGTTAAAACCTATTCCCACTCAGATCCATTGACCCATGGAGGAGTAGGGCTGGGACCACTACCAGTGCAGTGGGTTTGCAGTTCCCTTTGGACGTGGGAACAGAGAGAATGACAGAGGCAAGGCCAAGATTAGAGGGTCAGCTGCTGTGACCGCTCCCTGGCCTTCAGCTTGCCGCTCAGAGAGCTTCCAAAATTCTTGTGTTACGCATCTGTAGTATCTCTGTGTGCAGATGCCTCGTGCGTGCTCTTGCCAGGCCTAACTTGCAGCTTGCCTGTTCATGCTGGTAGGTTTTGCATAGGCATCATTCTGGGCATGAAGAAGAGCACAGGCCACTGCATGCATGCATGCAAGTGGTCCTTTTAAAAATCTGTCTTATTTAAAACGAAGTTAATTTAAACATATATCACATATTTATGTATCTAACTGTAATAAAAAGCTTTATCCAAGAGACAGATAAGGTTCACTCACTATCCTAGCAATGGGCCACGTCCCAGACAGCGCAGATACCCGAAAGAGAGTTAACAGTGAAGATCGCCACAACAGCCAGTCTATCACAGGATTGAGAAACCTGCCAGGGAGACAGCTACAAGTTCCCGTGCCACAGCTGGAAAAATTGTATTGCTCAACTCACTGCTAGGGACCTGCTTCTGCCAAGCATGCTGTGAATGAGGATATAACGCTGGCTCACGAGCTAGACAAGATGAACTAGAGATGAGGAAGAGGGAAGCCTAAGGGACTATCACAGGAGTAAGCAAAGCTAGCTGCCTCACTTATCAATTATACTGCAATAGTGTATATTTATGGTTTTATGGCAAGGGCTAACTCGTTGGACCAATATTTTCCCCCAAGTCATATCCAGGTAAATGCACCAAAGTCATGCTAGGGAACAGCTTTTATGGATTTAAAATATTTCTTTTTTTTCCCAGTACAGTATTAAAAAAATAAAAGCTTCTTTTTAAAATACTGAAAATATATTTTAGTTAAGGTAAAAATACTAAATATAAAAATTTAATGTAATATTTAAAATAACTGTGCTATAAAGGCATGTGAATTACTTAGTTATTTTGACATTCAATAATGGCACATTAACCCTTGTGGAGAAGCATGTACCAGTATACCCACATGGTGGTTTAGGAGAGAAGCTCATGCATTTCTGCATAGAAAACAAGTCTGCTTAATAAATGATGTGTAAGGGATTTTGAGACAGTAACGTTCATGCACTTGTGATGCATGGGGGAGTGTTCCAGGTAAGGCAGCGCAGTATACAGCATACAATTCAGCACAAATACTTATCTGTGCTTATTACAGCTATAGGATTCTCTGCTTCTGAATTGGAAATATTTTTTCTATTTTCCTTTTTGGCTGATGATCAGAACAGGTTGAAGGTGAAAATCTGTATTGATTTTCATTGGCTCTGCTCATGTCTTTGAGCTGCATATCAGAAAATCTGGAATGAGATAAAGAAAATGTGCTTGCCACTGTTTCCAGGGGGGAACGATAGGTTAGATGATGGGCTAGAATGTGCCTGGATTTCAACACAAACCGACCATTTGGAAACCAAAAGAGTCTTTAAGAACGTGACCCTAGCAGATTTTTAAAACACTTGGGTTTTTTTGCAACATGCACACAAACGTAGCTGGGTAATAACTCGTTTGTGTATGAAAAACCTAAAAGTTGAGATATTTATTATGCTCACCATTGTCACTGTTATTTTTATAGAGCGATTAAATGATAAAATAATCTATCCAAGTTTTCAAGTGGGGAAGCACCTGCATATATGCTATGAATGAACAGTAGCTGGATGTATTAATGCACGTATCAGTTAACTGCAGGTTGCAGAGATCTGATATTTCAATGCCATTCTTTAAATATTACTGTAAGAGACCACATAATAATAATAATAATAAAAGTACCAAATCATGCTTCAGCAGCTAGAAAGAGAGATTGCATCATGTTTTGGCAGTGACTCGATCATCCTACTCCACACTGGCAGCATTCAGTATAAAAAGGACAAAATGGCAGCAAAACCGGTCAGCAGCTTCTCTTCGTCTGGAGTTTTCCCAGGTAGATAAACAAAACAAAACCAGAACAAACATAAAGCTGCAATGGGAGCAGGTCAAAGCCCTGGCCCTTGTGTTGCTCTGATGAAAGTAAACTAGACTGATTTTCTTGGATAAGCACATCACAATCCCAAAATAAAAGATAAGTGCATAAAACCTCCAAATAATGATCTTCACTAGAACAGCTATGTGGTTTGTACAGGACAGTGGCCTTGTCAGCTACACATCTTGTTCATTTATGATTCATCTTCAGTCAGCATTATGATGCATTCACCTCACTGGAGTTTTGGCTGGATGACATGTGAGAGTCCAGATTCTCCTTGCATTTCTCCAGATCATGGAAATATGGGTGAGAGAGGGCAACATAGGCAGATATTCTCTTGGCTGGATTGAAGGCTAAGCATTTCTGTAAGTATGAAGAGAAGCTGGGTTTAACTCAAGTGTACAGTTAACAGTGCTAACATTGCATATATACATTAATGCATGACAACTTCAATTTATGATCAGTATGAGACACGACAGGGTCTCAGTAGGTGCTGCACGATAAGATGACCACCCATATTAAAACAAGCAGTGGGGTCATAGTATGTGACTATGACATCTCCAAAGCTAATAGAAAATAACAAGTTAGAAAATTAAAGTATTAATAGTTTAGGAAAATCCCAGAATTCAGGTTTTCTTGAATTCACATGCACAGGAGATCTGTCTCACAGACTGCAGGGAGCAACTCTTCATGGACAACTTTTGAATCCCCTCAGAGTTCAATGCACCATTCTTTTGTGGTTATATGAACATAGAATCATAGAATCACTTTGGTTGGAAAAGACCTTTGAGATCATCGAGTCCAACCTTTAACCTAACCCTGACATCCCACCACTAAACCATGTCCCTAATACATGGATGGCATCATAAGGAATATGTTCATTCCTAGGCTCAGCATTTCTGTAAGCATTGGGTCTTTGACTTATAGCCTTTGTATGCTAATGTTTTGTGTTCAGTTTCTCCCTCTTCTTCCTAGTTGTACTTTGCTTGCCTTCTTTCCAGATCCTTATCCCAGCCTTTGTCCAGCCAGCACTGAAATCTCTCCCACAGCCTTGCATTTTATAAGTTGCTCTCTTTTCCTTCATTCACCTCCAGATAGCATGCCCCCTACTGTCCTTGTCTAACCACTCCCTACTCCTATTTTCTTTTCTTGTATCAGAATTTCTATCATTTAACTTTTGAAATTTAATTCAGTGACTTCCAGTCCTACTCTCTCTTTCATCTGTGGCTCCCACTCTGCCTAACATGAACTTTCCACCTCACCTTCTAAGCACAGATATTTGTCTTCTTCCCCCCTCCCATCATGCCTCACACTCACTGAGCTCCCTACCATATTTTATTCCTTGTTGTTCCCAGAATCTAATTCTTGTCCCACATCTAGCTTCCATTTCCAGATGTAGCCCAGTTTACCACAGCTGGGAGCTGCAGTCCTAAGGACAATGGAGGATGATCTGCTGTTCTTTAGAGATAATGGTGGCCAGAGAGAGCAGTTCCTGAAGGGATGCAGCAAGTCTTTCAAGAGTTCCACTGAGCCCTCTCTACTGAGCCCATGTCAACCAAGATCTTTTAAAGGCTTGCACAGAACAAGTTTAGCTAGATTTCAACAAGCACAGCAAAAGGCAAACTGAGGCAAGGCCATTCCCTATATTCCATTCCAAGACTGAACTTCAGGTCTGTGTTTATAACATATCTATAAAAATGATGCAAATAATTTAATTGAATTCAGTGTTACCAGCTGCACCAGCACAATTTGTTTGCATCTGTTCAATCCTGACATTTTTAAGAGGCAAAACCTGGTGAATTCAAATCTCAAGTTTTCAGCATTCAGTAGAAGGCCTGCAGATGTAATCTGCCTCTACAGCCTATCTTCTGCTTTATACTGGGTCCACTATACCATGAAAAATGGTAGGTCGGTTTTTGTACTCATGTCAGGCTTACACTATAAGAATGGCTGAATCAGTGGCACAACAGTGGTCAGTAATGAGGATCAAAGCATAAGGTCTAAAGACAGATCAAACAGGTACTTCCCTGACACAGTCTCCTAGTCTCTAACTGTCCTCAGCTCTGACATCTCTTGAACCAAAGGTGGTGTCTTTGTGCTGATGTTTCACAGATTTACATGAATTTGCCTAGCTATTTTGGAGCTTTTCTTTAATAACACCATTAAATGGAAACATAAATGTTTCTTGGCATGTTGCATGCACAGTGGGAACTGTCAGTCATATGGCTTGGAGGACAACAAATAGAAACTCACTAGAAGCAAGTCTTTGCCCAGATCATCAATATCTGGTACAAATTTTTCAATAGGTTGTGCAGGTCTGGAAGTGAAAGCATTTCTTGGAAGAGCAACGTCATTAGGCCAGTCCTCTTCTTCTGGTAGTCCAATTACACTGTGAAAGGAAAACCACAACGTTAGGTCTGAACATTTATCCAGTCTCCCCTTTACATAGATTATACTGAGTGGCAGTTTTACTTTATAAGTCTTTTTGTTTCAATGAGATTAATTGTACAGTAGCGCACCGATCTCTGTGAATAGAGGCTGATGAGTGTAGGTCCTCAGTGTGCTTGGTAAAAATCATTCTCTGGCCAGCACAATTTTCTGGCCTAGGTCTCAATTTTCTGAGTCTTTTTTTCAAAAAAGGGCTGAATGCTGTGGAAGAAAGTTGCTCAGCTCTTGACTGGATAGTGCAAGATATGTTGCTCCAGGATGATTAAAAGCAGCAAGTTTCAAAGGGGAATTGCATGCAAGGATCTTTATTCACAAGAATAGGGACTGAGAGAAGAGTGTGGGTCAAGTTGAGGGTAAGGCGATAAAAGGGATGTTTGATAATGCTTCAAAGCTATGTGCAGTAATTGTTGCCCAAATTTAAACAATTTATTTTCTTCACAATACAGACTTTAAAGTCTCAGTTCAGAAGTGGCGTAGGACTTGAGTGCCTTCATGTTTTTACTTTCAATTGTATTTTAGTGTTTCTTTACCCCTTAATAGAATATTTTAATTTCCTTTTATAATTTATATCTTTATTCTTTAAGTTATAGAAGATATTTGTAATAATTAAATAATCATGGTAAGGGTTTAAAACCAAATAAATGAAATAGTAGGTAAACCTCTGATGGATCAAGTCTCATACTTTTCATGTTTTAGTGTGATGCTAATATTTGTCGGGTTGAAAAGCCAGTTTCTGATGGAAATTCTAGAAAAGACCATAGATTACTTGTCAGGTTTCAGGGAAATTAAATTTTTACAGCCTGTGAAATCGAGATTTTTATTAGAAACGATGACATGGTAAGACAAGAAGGAACATGAAGAAACGTCACCGAATACTTGGGGCTGCACTAAGCCCACTGCCACTAGGGAGCAGCATTGACCTTTCTTCTTACTGAGGTTGGTAGTAAGACTGTGAGGCCATGGGCCAAATGCTTTGATGCAAATCATACTTTATCTCACCGAACTTAGTGGAATTACTCCACATGTACCTACATGGATTTTAGATTGCAATTTGGCTCACCTAAAATACCTCCAAAAATTAATATGTCCTCAAAACAACAGCATGGCAATTAAAATCTCAGGACAATTTAATTATACTACATCTGAAGATATCACATCTCTTGGGAAATGATAAATTAAATTTGTACGAAAAACTGAATTTGACTTTTATCACCACAGATATGGTGGGGGTGTGGGGCAACTCCCTTGGCCACGGTGGTTAAAGCCATGTGATTGGCTGTTTGAGGATCTGGACCTCTATTAAATGTAATACAAATAGCACTGTAGGAAGATGGGGGAGTTAAGTTTTTTAAATAACAATGAAGTTTAATCTGCCATTCAAATGTGTTATTTAGTCCTAGGTTTTTTAACGTTTGCATGAGAGAGCATGAACAGGGCAGAATAAGCACAGACACAGGCAAAGCTAACAAAAAGAAAGAAGGAGGCAGCCTGTCAGGCAGGTAGGGTGGACAAGACCAAGAGTGGAAAGGAGAGACATTTTTAGTTACACACTCACGTAGCACTCAAACCTCTTAATAATGAATGTCTGAGTAGATGCCCTCATTCTGGTCTGGTAGCACTACCATTTCAGTGACTAAGTTTGGGAGTATCTTGGATGAGTTTCATCTCCTGTCAAAGGTTCAGGCCTGGTCTTGAGAAACGCTGAGTGCTTTCCACTCCCATTGATCACAATGGGAGACAAGTCTGCTCAAACCACTGCAGCATTTAGCCTGAAATCTATGAGGCTATCCCACACGCTGATGGTGCCTTGGAAAAGCAGGAAGTAGTTTTGGGCCATGTCTGAGGGATTTACCCTCCAATGCGGTGGAATTTTACCTGACAGAAGTCGGTACGCACATGTAAAGCAAAGGTAGACCACAGCCCCATTATCTGAAAGAATGCATCAGTCCAGATTGCACAAAAATCCTGAAACTACTTTCTGTCCAAATTAGCCTGCAGAATGAGTCATTACTGTAGAAAGAAACAATCCTCCTACAAGAAGAGCTATGCCTAACTGTAGGGGGTTCTCCAGCTGTGAAAACACAAAATAAACACTATTTAGCATACCCCCCCCCCCCCCAGAACCCAAGAAAGAAACTTTTGAACTATTTAAGGAGAACTGCACAAAAGAAGCAAAACCAAACTTTCTCTTTATGTAGATGTGTAATAAGGAATTTCTTCTAATATTAGCACGGCATTTTGTCTTCTTGATGAATTCTTTTCTGCACAGGTAATCTCGGCCCCTAGGGATGGAAAGATCCCTGTCGGAGGCTGCTGCTAGCAGCTATGCATTTAATCCTAGCTCAGTTCGTTTTGACTTTTCCCCTTAAATGTCATAAACGAAGCAAAAGCCTTAAAAAAATCACAGCTATGTCTTTTTAAATTATAAAGGATGTTGTATGTATCAAAACTGTCTTCATTTAATAAAGCAGAATATTGTAGGACTAAAGGAGTAGCTTTGGCAGAAGAAGAAAAAGTAAACTTTAAGGACTGATTTTTCTGGATTGGGCAGGAAGCGCTATTCAGCGCATGACAAATTAACCACGCAAGTGAGTCACATACACTGGTATGGTATGCAGGAAAGGGAAGTCAACTGTGTGAAATCAAGACCTGCAATTTAGGAACCTCATATTAAATAATGAAAATGCTTAGAAACAGATCTGTTATGATTTGAGAACTGGAAAAATGGATAAACAGAGAAATTAATTATTTATTCTGTTTAAGCTCTTCTCCCTAGAAACTTTGCTATCTTCTCTTTGGAATATCTTCAAGAGAATTATACTTCAGCCTTTTCTCTCTCTCTCCCCGCTTCCCCCCCCCTGCAGCCCTGCAGCCCCTCTGTACAGAAAGGAAAGACAGAGGTGCAGAGGCAAATGGGCAGTCATTCTCTGGAGTGGGACCAGCCCTGTGTGGCTTTGATTTCCTTAACTACATGATATGTACATCGGATCTTAAATTTACATGGTTCTTATAAATTCAGAAACATTCCTTGCCTTGGAGAGTTTTTACAAGAAAAAGTGATATAATTGTATGTAATTATCATATACGTAATATCAATAACTTAATTTTTTGGTTTTTAACTGAGAACATATTTTGGAAGAGAATTATTCTACCTCAGAGAGTTTAGAGCCTCCTCACCTCCTCAACATATTTGATATATCCGATGAAGAAAAACAAAAGCTCCTAGAACTGTAAAACCATTTTAAAGTAAAGCCAATTAGTTAATCTCTGACAAAGCACTTGTTAAAATGCTGATATTCCTTCTGTTCTCACAGTTACCTTCCTGACCAAAACATGGACTGTTAATCTTTTTAGCAGGCTACACAGTATATTTTAATAGCTAAAATATTTTCTTGTGTACAGAAGCCTTTTCTGCAAAGAAGCTGTTGGTAATCATCTTAGAGATTTCAGTTTAACAACAATTTTGAAGTATTCTAATGTTGTTTTCTGAAATACACAAAGAAATTACTGAAAAGGAAAACCTCTGCATTTGTTTATGTGTAGAGAATCTCTTGGATCTAACTGTTTAGGAATATGCACGAATGACACATGCACAATATGTTTAAGAGATTTAAAAAGCCCGAAAGAGAAGTCTCGCATAACTTCCTGATGATGGCTGTTAGTTCTGCAGAACTATATTCCATGTTGCTTCCTCCTCCCACTCTGACACAGAATACACGGAAATATCATGTTGCATACAGTAGCAATAGGAAATATGTTCTAGGAATACTTTGTTCTAGTCACATTATTGCATAAAAACATGGCAAAGAAACCTCAGAGTGTTTCAATGTTAAACAGATATTGACATAATGCAACTAGTTATTACTTACTCAAAGATTTTTCCTAGCTGATCAACATCTGAATTTCCACGGAAGAGTGGTCTGAAAGAACAAAGAAATATTTTTAGGATGTGACTTGCTTTAATTAATGTAAATTTGTATTTGTCATTGACAGCTGCCAACATAGGGTGAAAATACGTTATTTTTTTTGAGACCTCACTTCTGCCTCCATGTTTTATCCAGTCTGTGAGTGTACCTTTCAAGCTTCTACTAAAACCGATAAAAAAGGGAATAGATGAGACATGTTCTTGAGTATGCTACTTCTGAAAATTTAATTGTCCTTTAACACGAATGAAATAACTTTCTCAACTGATACTATCCTATGAATTATACCATTAATAAAATAGATTTCACTATAAAGAACATACTTAAATAGCTGTTTAGAGAGACAAAAACGGAGTGAATGTCATGCAATTCATTAAAACACAATAAAATTAGAGATGAATTATTATGGATACAAATTCAACATTAAATTTCTTGTATACTGTATATTGGAAATGTGCTCCTGGGTTTAAGGGGTCAAATAAATGACAATGGATTTATGAAGGTCTGTAAAGAATGGGTTGTGAAACGGTACAGAATTTACCTTGAAGGAGAGGAATACTTCTGCTGCGTAAATAAAGATATGTTCAGGAAAGAAAGAAATTAATAGGCTGAATGTCCAGACGCTTTCAGAAAAAAACAATGACTAAAAATACTTTCAGAGAGTGGTACACACTTTTTCTTTTCAAAGTACCATTTAAGATATTTTCACTCATCGTTTATAAAATACTATCATCCCATAGTGCCCAAGTAAAATATGAAATTCAGATTTGTGTGGCTGTATGGCCACCTTTGTATTGAATTCAGTAAGGTGTGATCAACAGTGCAATTTTATGTTTAAACTCCCAAGACATTCCAACAGATTACTGACGGATGATTAAGGATCCAGCCAAAAGTGAGGGCATCTGTGAAGATCAGGCCCCAGATGTTGCATACCATTTTGGTTCAGCAAATGGTAGATTACTCCAAGAAACACGATTCAGACACACTGCAAACTGAGATACTAACTTGGGTTGACTCATAGCCAGGCCACCCCTATCTTCTAGAGCACAGCTCTCGGAGTACAGTGCACATGGTAAACTTATGGTTACAGTTTCCAAAACTGTTCAAATGAGACCTGGTGACTTGACAAACAATGCATATTCCTGTGTTTCCACTGGAAGCCTTTGGTTATGGAGAGACGTCAGTTCTCCTGCATCTCTCTGCACTCATTTCTTCTGTCTGATACAGGTCCTTAACAGCAGCGATAGCCAAAGCCATCATTTCACTGTTGCTCTTCATAGAAGACCTCTCCTATCTACACGAGGAGTACTCAGCTATAGTTCTTCCCCTCTCATTGCTCATATGCAGGAGCAGGTGTAGGATCTAGATCTCCTTTTGCTAACCATGAGTTAATTCTGAAAAATGTTGCTTTACATCTTGACACGCTCATGTAGACAACAGAGCTCCCTGTCACTGCCGCCCATTTTGTGGGTCCACACCAAATACAGTAAATAGACCCAGAGCACTGTGACATTTCACAGTTAGACATAATAATCTCTCCAGAAATCTGTGCCACCAAGAAAAAGAGCAGAGCAATAACTGGAAGACATGCTTTGATGAACTAAACACACATTTTGTATCCTTCACATCTGCTGCCATTCAGGTGATGTCATATCAACTTATACTGCAAACTACTTTGCGCAGGGACATTGAGAGAACAATTTCATCAGGTCTGATTTGAAACCATACAATAACAGATTGAAACAGATGGGGTAAAATGCAGTAGCCTGCCACTTGTCCATGAAGGGCTTTATTTATTTTGATTCTGAATAAATAATAAATATCGGTATGCACTGCTTCCCAGATATCCATGATATTTACTAACTACAGACTCTATGACAAGAGTGTTTCAACTCATACTTAGAGGTTTCTGTATTTTTTTAAGCTTTGAAGTATCCAGCAATACTGGCTTCTACAAAAAACCAGCACTTATCTTCACTCAAACAGGAGCATCTACTTCTGCTGTAAGTTTTGAGCCTGATTTTAAAAATGGTCAGTAGCTACAATCCTAGTATTGTTCGTGGCAGCAGACATGCTCTGTATCTTCCAATGCCAGACAATGACAACATTAGACATTTTTTGAATGAATGCTTAAAATTATTAAGATACGGTTACTTTGAGCATTTAATTTTGGCTCCAGCATTAGAATATTGGGGCCCTTTAAAGTAACAAAACCTACACAATCAAATAATCCTATCCATGCAAATGGAAAGCTGACTTAATGTTTTAAAATGTATGCTGAACCTTGCGTTAATGTGAAAGCTTGGCAAAGTCAGCCTTGTTCGCAAATCACCTTAGGCAGTGTCATGCCAAAACAAGTATGATTCTTGGGATTTTTAAGGGAGGTTTTTCCCATCATTGTTGCTGTCTCAGATTCACTAAGGGCTGAAGCAAGAATTTAAATTCTTTTGACTATATAATTATACAACACAAGGTGACCTTCCAACATACTTTGATATTTCATCATAATGAAATGTTATTAATTCATCTTTCAGGTTCCTATCCGTCCCACCATCATGACTACAACAGAATGCCAACTCCAGGTTAGGCACTACTAATGTAATGAAACTTGCCTCATGAATTTTGGCTGGAGGTTCAATTGGAATATTGGACAGATGATTGGGGAAGCAGATCCACTTAATCAGCAGCCATATGAAGATCTCATCTCACATTTTGGCAGTAGTTACTCTTTAGTAATGACTTGCCAGTGCTGCAAGTCCAGTACATAAAAACTTTCACCTCAAGCCGATTGTTTTTTTAATTCTGTTCTTAAAGGTAGACATCAGGTCTCCCAGTACCGCTGAACTGGGAGCATACTCAGCAGCCACAGAAATGTAAAATTCCACCTTTGTTCTTGGTATCTTTCACGTGACTCACTCACCCACTCACTCCCTGAGGTTTATTTATGCAAGCTCAATCCAGAAGTCCTTACTTGGGGATACGCTCTCTTCCCTGTGATGATAATCTGTGTAAGACTGGTTAAATTCTGAGAGTCTGATTTTGTAGAACTCCTTCTTTTTCCCTTGGGAAAGGTGTGGAGCTGGGTTTGTTGCCTGTGGCAGAAGATATGAGTCTGTCCTCTGACTTCAAAGAACTCCTAAAATCTCTGCATATGTGTGTCTCAGGAAAGAGGGATATTCCAATGGAGGAAAGGGCTATCCATGGGGGTACACTTGCCTTTTGGGTGGTTCCTCGATCCTCTTAACCTTCCCTGACTTTGCTTGCTACAAAATCCATGCTCTGAGGGCTCTAACGCCATTGCTGTAACAAAACACACACTTGAGTAGGGAAGAAGATGGGACGGAAAGACAATGCACCTAATTTAATTTCCCTATTTGCTCAAGAAGTCTCAGATGTTTTAAGTCCCCATAATTTCCTATTTTTGTTGGCTGTTGCTTCTTTGATTTCTTAGGGACAGGGGAGGAGGGAAATGTTACAGGGAATCTGCAGGTGTCCATCTTGTTTGATCACTCCTTCTCCAGGCCTTGGAGATAGACTGTTATCCACTGCCTCTGGAATGGTGCCCACTCAATGCAGGAAAACCCCCTTCATGTCTAATGTAGGACCAGAATGGCCTTAGCCTACAGGTATGAAGATGAGTTGAAGGCACCATATTACTACCTTGTCCTGCTAAAATAAACTCCTACTGAGTCAGTAAGCATGAACCTTAGTTCCTGAGATACAAAATGGGCAGCTGCACAATTAAATGGATATTAGTCTGCATTGTGACTATTTTCACAGGATAAATCTATCTACCTTTTTATATGTCAGTCCAACACAAAAGTGCATATAACTCCTGGGCTGCATGAGGTAAAGTGTTGCCAGCAGGTCAAGGGAGGAGACCCCTTCCCTCTGCTCAGCACTGTCGAGGCCACACCTGGAGTGTTGGGTCCAGTTCTAAGTTCCCCACGACAAGGGAGACATGGACATGCTGGAGAGAGACTAGAAAAGGGCCATGAAGATGATGAAGGGACTAGAGCATCTGATTCATGAGGAAAGGCTGAGAGAGCTGGGACTGTTTAGCCTGGAGAAGAGAAGGCTCAGGGGGGATTTTATCAATGTCTATAAATGCCTGAAGGGAAGGTGCAAAGAGGACAGAGCCAGGCTCTTTTCAGTGGTGTCCAGTGACAAGACAAGAGGCAGTGGGCACAAATGGAAGCACAGGAGATTCCCTTTGAACATAAATAAACACTTTTTTACTGTGAGGGTGACCGAGCACCGGCACAGGTTGGCCAAAGCGGTTGTGGAGCCTCCCACCTTGGAGATATTCAAAAGCCATCTGGACATGGTCCTGGGCAACCAGTTCTAGGTGGCCCTGCTTGAGCAGGGCAGGTTGGACCAGATGATCTCCAAAGGTCTCTTCCAACCTCAACCATTCTGTGGTTCTGTGATAATACAGAAATAAAAATACAGATCACGACATAAGGTTGCAATGTGAAACCTCACAAATCCTGAAAAAGTTACCATCTGCTTACAGTTTAGAAGTACTTGCACCACTAATCTTCTGGCTGAAAGGCTCTCATGCTTATATGTAGCTGAACAAATTAGGTTTCACTATTCACCAAATTTAGGCTCTTTTCTCTTGTCCAAAGGAATATACTCAGCTCATGTTGTTGTTTCATGCTGAGTTTCACCTTCACTGAATATTCCATCTATCTCAGCTGGATATTGGTGTCTGAAAGGTTGAGTATTTTATAGACATTTTTTCATGTCTGTGCTACTCAGTAAAAACTGAAATATAATAAACATTTCCTAAGCAAGTCTCCATGAAAAAATTTTCCCTGGTGCAATTCCATGAACATGCCAAAGCAATTCTAAAAGTATTGTATACAATGACAATGCAATGACACCCAAGAGATAAATGTGGTTTAACTGTAAACTGGCCACCCTACTTCTAGACTTCACTTTAAGCCTGTGCTCTACAAAACAAAGAGGGTCCGCAACTTTCCACAAGAAAA